CCCTCCAATGTCCCACAGGTGCAAATCGGAAGTTCAACATAATTTCTATATCTTCCCAAAGTGTAAGCAATTCAGTATAGTAAGCACTAACATCCATCGAGCCTTGTTGAATCGAACTAAACGTTGTTCAATCTCATAAACCCTAGGTGCATCATTCTGTTTGAATCGAGAACAAAGATTCTTCCAAATAGCTTCAGAAGTAGACATAAAGAGTAAGCTCTGGCCTATCTTCTTAGAAACAGAACTCATAAGCCAAGTAGCTACCATGTCATTACACCTAGACCATGATCCAACATCACAGTGAGAATCAGGAGGTTTCGGAATTGTACCGTCTATGAAGCCAAGTTTGTTCCGTACGTTTAACGCCATGCGAACAGATCGGCGCCAAGAGTGGAAATCAGATCCAGAAGAGAGACGATCAGAAACAAGAACAAGACCGACGTGATCAGATGTGTGCAAGAAATACGGATTTTCATACTGATCTGTTGAAGATCGAGAAACATCCGTCGAAGGATTTGGAATCGCTGTATTCGTCGGAATTGATGCCATTTCAGAGATTGAAATCGAATCGACGAAGAAAAATCGAGTCGATTTGATGTAAAACAAAGAGAATCGACAACGAAATTAGGTCAAGAATAGAAAGAAAATCAGAAACAAGATAAGAAAAGAAAGATACGAAAGAAAGTCGAGCACAGCGAAGAAAAATCTGACGAGGAAATCAAATCGCAGCTGAGGAATCGATAAACTCATTGCTGGATTGAAGCTCGTTTTACAGATTTCATGAGAAGAAAGATGAATCGAAGCTCAGAGATGAGTAACAATGGCGGAAACAAAAATTCTCTAATTAGCCGTTAGAGAGCTCTTGAGGAAATGTTCACTTTTTCATTAATTGGTAAAAGAATATACAAGTGTTGATATATATAGTCACGCGGTTTAACTAAAGGAAACAAACCGGTGATTTAATCTAATCTATGTACATTGAACCGGACATAACTCGGTATATATCTAATAATTACCACTTTAACTTTTATCATTTGCATATATTTAATTGATCGAAGTCTTTCGAAACTTAACATTTCTTCACGTCGACTGTGACCGCTATATTACGATCTTATCAGAATATATAGCCTAATATCAAACTTTCAATCTTATTTTCCCTTCCTATTTTTTGTCTAACAATTCTATTCTCAGAATCCTTTGTTTGTTGTGAACTTGATAAAATCGTTTGAACAAAATCCTTTGTTTTTTGTCTAACATTGGAACAATATAAAGAATGGTAAAATCGTTTTCGAGATGATTACGTCAAGCCGGTGAAAAATAACGCATTATTAAAACAATTAAGATCTGAATTCTCGCCTTTTGCGCTAACAAATCTCTATATTATTATTTGAGTAGACATTTAAAAACATAACTTTTATTTTGTAAAATATCATATAATATACTATTATAAATAACATAGAATAATTAAAATAAAAAAAATATAGTTATCTTTCAACTATAATAATAAAAATATGGAAAGTTTTTGTTTCTCATTTTTATATTTATTATTTAGTTTCTGAATTCAAAAATATGATAGTTTTTTATATTTTTCGTTTCAAATGATATTATAAAGTATATTTAATTAAAAAATATGAAAATAAATTTTCTTATAACTAAATCAAATAAAATCAAGATTAAAAGTTATGATATTAAAAAAGTGGTGAAATATTTAATTTACTACATTTAATTGATTATATACAAAAATAATTTTTTAATTATTTTTACTAAAAATTTGATATGCGAAATTTGATTTTTTAAATAAAAAAAGTTTGTGGTGAAGTGAGAGTTATTGAACGTTAGATATTATAATTAGTTATTAAATTTAATCCAATATAAACATGTTAAGTAAACGGGTTAGTTCGATATAAACAGATTATAATTCTAATTTTTTTAATATCCACAAAAAAAACTCACAATTCAAAATATTAATTTAATCTACTAAATATTATAATATATTTAATCTACTAAATATTATAATTTTTCTTTTAAAATTAAATATAATTTATTATATATTTAGTTATTATATATCAAACTTAAGTGTAAAAATATTATATTATTTTCATATATAGTTAAAGAAGATAAAATTGATTTTTTTTATAGTTTGTGGACAGATTATAAAAGTCAGTTATTAAGCGATGCAAATTAGAGTTGATGATTATAATATTATAATATTTAATGTATTAGTCTAAATAATATTTTAGTTTGGTGCCAACGGGTTAAAAACAGCTTATTTTGCTTTACACGCTTATAAAATAACTTCATATACGGATTAATTTATTTTTCATAATTTAAACAAAAAATAAAAATAATTTTATATACGGATCAATTTATTTTTTAAAATTCACAAAAATATGCATTATATTATCGTAAATTATATAATAATAACTGTTTTTACAAAATAACTATTTTTATAAAATTGTTTAAATTAATTGAAAGTTAAAATATTTTTTCCGCGCTATAACGCGGGTTAATGCTTAGTAGATCATACAATTCAACATGGAATCCAAAAATGAAAAGAGGTTTTTAATTTTGGTCATTAATTCTGTCTTTTTCGTACTTTGATTCCTCATTCTCTAAATTGCAAGGCTGAATTAATTGTTGGTTCGTAAGTAAAAGAGAGGGTTTTATGCTGTTCGTTAGTAGTATAAGTTGACAAAAAGGTGGTTAGGTGAGGGATTCATTTTGAAACGTAGAACATAACCTTTCAGACGGTAAAATTGTCATCTTAATCAAGTTTTAGCAGTTCGTATCAAATGTAATAGAATAATATCTTTTTGTATTTTGAAAAATAAAACAACTGAGTGTATACAGTAATTAAATATTTGTCGTATTACATGTGCCTATCTCATAGCTGATGTATAAGAAACATGGCACTTCAATAAGCCATGCAAATTGAAATGTGTCAACTCCCTTCATTGATATGTTTGCTTGACAACGTGCAGCCAAATTTTATTTTCAAATAAAGACATAAGAATAGCAATTCAAGTGAACTGTAAATTGTACATAGTCGACTCTATATACTTGTTTCTTACCTCAATCAAATTATTATCAAAAAACATTTAAAAGAAGAAAAAAAAAGAAGAAAACCCCTATAAATAGATTCACTTAACGCAAGTGTAAGACCAGAACAACCACAACAAATAAGTAAAGAGAAAATGGCTCGAGTTTCCTCTCTTCTCTCCTTTTCCTTTACACTTTTGATCTTTCTCCAGGGCTACGCAGCTCAGCAGTTTCCAAACGAGTGCCAGCTCGACCAGCTCAATGCCATCGAGCCGTCACACGTACTTAAGGCCGAGGCTGGTCGCATAGAGGTGTGGGACCACCACGCTCCTCAGCTACGTTGCTCTGGTGTCTCCTTCGTACGTTTCGTCATTGAGTCTAAGGGTCTTTACTTGCCCTCTTTCCTTAACACCGCGATGCTCTCCTTCGTGGCTAAAGGTGCGTTTTTTTTTAAACCAACTAGGTTTGGATCTTTAGTAACTGTTTCGGATTGGGAGACCATTTTCATATTAAGATTCAAACTCGTGATAAGGTTCAGTCTTCTTGGAATGTGTTATAGTACATCTTTAGAGCTACATACGCCGAGTTTTATAGAACTGTTTCACATGGTTTCGACTTGCTTCAAATTTTGATCAATAATACTAAATTTTTATTAGACTTATGCATGTAATCTTTTTTTTTTCTTTTGGGTTGTTGACATTATAGGACGAGGTCTTATGGGAAGAGTGATCCCTGGTTGCGCTGAGACATTTCAGGACTTACCAGAATTCCAACCAGGCCAGCAGGGACAGGGCCAGCAGGGACAGCGCCAGCGTCAGCACAGACGGGGCCAGCAGGGACAGGGACAGGAGCAGGAACAGGAGCAGGGACCAGAACAAAGGCAAAGCTTCTCTGATATGCACCAGAAAGTGGAGCACATAAGGAGCGGGGACACAATCGCAACCCCATCAGGTGTAGCACAATGGTTCTACAACGATGGAAACCAACCACTTGTCATCGTTTCCGTCCTTGATTTAGCAAACCACCAGAACCAGCTTGACCGCAACCCAAGGGTATATATAGACCAAAACCTCAAAAAACAAATCATATAAAATTTAATTATATAATCACAATATAACAAAAAATGATGTTTTTCTATGTGTGTTATGTAGCCATTTTACTTAGCTGGAAACAACCCACAAGGCCAAGCCTGGCTAAAAGGACGTGAGCAACAGCCACAAAACAACATCTTTAATGGCTTTCCACCAGAGGTTATTGCTAAAGCTTTCAAAATCAATGTTCAGACAGCACAACAACTTCAGAACCAGGAAGACAACCGTGGAAACATTGTCTTTGTCAAAGGCGAATTCGGTGTCATTAGGCCACCTTTGAGGGGGCAGAGACCACAGGAGGAAGAAGCAGTAGGTAACGGTTTAGAGGAGACCATATGCAGCGCGAGGAGCACCGATAACCTCGATGACCCGTCCAATGCTGACGTGTACAAGCCACAGCTCGGTTACATCAGCACTCTTAACAGTTATGATCTCCCTATCCTTCGCTTCCTTCGTCTCTCAGCACTCCGTGGATCTATCCGTCAAGTAAGTAACAAAAAACGTTATCTATTTCAAATCAAACAATACGTCACTTTCTACATCTAAACGTGACTTCTGAAACGTGTGTGTGGGTGTAGAACGCAATGGTGCTTCCACAGTGGAACGCAAACGCCAATGCGATTCTCTACGTGACAGATGGGGAAGCCCAAGTGCAGGTGGTTAACGACAACGGTGAAAGAGTGTTCGACGGACAAGTCTCTCAAGGACAGCTACTTGCCATTCCACAAGGTTTCGCCGTGATGAAACGTGCAACAAGCGACCAGTTCCGGTGGGTTGAGTTCAAGACAAACGCAAACGCACAAATTAACACTCTTGCGGGCAGAATCTCAATCATGGCAGGTCTACCACTAGAGGTCATAAGCAATGGGTACCAAATCTCGCCCCAAGAAGCAAGGAAGGTTAAGTTCAACACGCTTGAGACCACTTTGACTCACGCTAGTGGCCCAGCTAGCTATGGGAGGCCAAGGAAGGCTTGATGCTTGAAAGTTTAAAACGGCGATGTTTAACTATGAGCCTCTACTGTAAAACGAAGTCAAATAGTAGTAATAATAATAATACGAAAATGTAACTGGTTTTGTTGAGGTTTCTTGTAAAATGTAACTCCTTTTCTGAATAAGACCATCAAGTTCATAAAAATCTATAATCCAAACTTCAGATACTAGTTTTAATAAGCTCAGAGCAAAAAATGGACTCGACGGAAGCCCGATAATCAATAGACCATCCAATTATTATTTATTATGCAATTTCATAATCTTACATGATTTTTTTTAACATCTAAAAAACCACAATGTACCTAAAAATCTAAAACTGGATAATTATCCAAATCCACCGCCATACCTAAGTCGGTTACCAATATTTTATGTATTGTTCTCTTGTATAAAAACCTGACTTACCTTGTAAGATGGACGAGTTAATAAAAAGCAGAAATTATCTCATTTCTCTCGTCTCTCTCCCTTCCCTTCTGCTGGTTCATTTGTATACTTTCTATATAATATAGATGGAAATATATATACATATAATTCATAATAAATTTAAAATACCAAAACTAATTTTCTTTTTATGTTAGTAATTTCGTTATGCAATGTACCTAGAATAATGGTGTAATGAATTTTGTTCAGGGAGCTTTATCAATCAATCTTGGGAAAAACTTTATCTATCTTCAACCATCATCGATCTTACCACCATTGATTTCTATTTTTCTATTTTTACCATCTATTTGTACATCAAAATGAAGTACTAAATATTTTTATTAGCAACTCAAAGTTAATAAAAATGTTGGAGTGAAAAGTTAATTCTCTTCCGTATATTTATGAAGTGGAAGATTAAATCTCCTTCTTACTAATATTATGGAGTAGAAGGTTATGTCTCCTCCTTGCATATATTTATAAAATAGAAGGTTAAACCTTTTCCGTGATTATAAAATTATGGGGTTGATAGTTTAGTCCTCCTTTTTAAAACAAATTTTATGGAGTGAAAAATTAAACTTCCTCCATGAACACAAAATAATGGAGTGGAAGGTTATGCCTCCTCCTTATTTTTATGGTAGGCTTGGTGCCTTCAAAACATATGGAAACTATACCAGCTAAAAACCCCGTACGAGCTAAAAGTTCCGGAAGAGCCAAAAGTCCTATACGAGCTAGAAGCTCCGGAATAGCTAAAAGCCTTGTAAGAGCTATAAGTTCCGGAAGAGAAAAATGTTCCACAAGAGCACACGATGGTGACATATATAAATGTGATAATAAAAGATGGCAAGGGTATATACCATAGTAAACTTGAAGTTTACTAATTGAATAAACCGGTTAAGTCATCTCGGTAGTTACAATGATATAAGATCATTGAGAATACAAGTTGAAAAACCAGAAGCTTTTTCAACTATTGCATGTCACAAAGAAAGAAAAAAAAAAGCCATCATGAAAACCATCCATGGATAGATCACCATTTCTTTTGGTTTAAAGCTCATTAGATATGTAGTTGGTCCTAAAGTGGGATTCAATTCGAGATGGATAGACCTTAAAAGTGTCATCATCTCGAGGGGAAGAATTAAAGAATCCCACATCGAGTGTAAGCTGAACATCCAGAAGATTATGTTCGCACTTGAAATGAGCTTAAAATAAAACAAATCCAGGAGATTGAAAAACCAATTACGGTGATCTCCATATGGTGACATAAAATATGCAGTATGACATATAGAAAACAACTGATGGATCCTCATATGAATCGAAGTTCATATTGATTGAAAAAACAAAATCTCATATCCCAGCTGAGCTCCACTAAAAGTAGATGTCCATGAAGGGCGGTCTATTTGCGTCTATAACATGTAAAAAAAAAAACGTGATAGACTACTTTGGTTCTAAATCCTCAAAAGAAAAAGAACAAAAGAGGATTGATCTCCTGAAGAGATTATTGACATGGTTAATGATAAAATCATGTACCTGAATGAAATCGATGATATAATTAAGAGATTTCGATTTACCATGTCATTACAAAAAAAAGGTGGAACCAAAGATTAACCTCTAGAGGAATTAATCCCTAAATGATTATATTGGAATTCTGTTTCCGGAAACACTACTCGATTGAAATAAAGAATGATGATTATCAAAACTCTTGGAGAGTTTATTCGAGTAGTATAATAAAAAGGATTATTCTATAGGTGATATCTTGAACCGGTAATTGGAGATATGTTTACGACACTTTTGCCACTTTGATGAAAATGAATTCTCTACGTTGAGGGAGAGAAAAAGAAGAATATATATATTTTTTAATGAGAATGTTACTGTATTTTTTTCTATAATTTTTATTATTAAATATATCGGCGGTGATGAATAGTTAAGAGAAAGTGTTATAAACTAGATAATTATCTAAATCCATCGTCATACCTACCAACTCAATTAAATCGGTTACCAATATTTTATGTATTGTTCTCTTGTATAAAAATCTGACTTACCTTGTAAGATGGACGAGTTAATAAGAAGCAGAAATTATCTCATTTCTCTCGTCTCTCTCCCTTCTGCTGGTTCATTTGTATACTTTCTATATAATATAATATAGATGGAGATGTATATACATATAAGTATATACAATAATTCATAATAAATTTAAAATACCAAAACTAATTTTCTTTGTATGTTAGCAATTTCGTTATGCAATGTACCTAGAATAATGGTGTAATGAATTTTGTTCAGGGAGCTTTATCAATCAATCTTGGGAAAAACTTTATCTATCTTCAACCATCATCCATCTTACCACCATTGATTTCTATTTTTCTATTCTCACCATCTATTTGTACATCAAAATGAAGTACTAAATATTTTTATTAGCAACTCGAAGTTAAAAAAAAAACTAACGTTTAAAAATAGTAAGAACAATATTTCCAATATATTAAATTTTTGTTTTTCTTTTGTTAATGCAAAATATGAAAAGACAATACAAAGAATCACAACACGAAAATCTCTCTCAGCATAAGACTCACCTTGATGTACGAAAGTAAATGCTCTCCTTGGTTTTTCCTTGCAATGCAACATTTCTAAACCGGTTGCTTTTGTGATCCACAAAGTAAACATACATCTCTTCAAATTTGACGGGTGCATAGATAAACTCGTCCATATGATCTGTAGCCCCCACCATTTTCAAAAGGCCATGGAATGTCCCAGTAGAACCAAGTATAGAATAACATAGCTTTCGACCACTCTTGTTTCTTGGCGTCCTCTAAAACCCACAAAGTAAAATTGTAGCCCTGAATATTAGTACGAGTGAACTCTCATCTATTCTATTAAAACAGAAGCGCATTTAGTTCTTGCATCCAAACACTTCTAAAGTTTTTTTTATAATATTTTATTTTATTGTTATATTTAATTTCCGAAAATTAGTTATTAATTTAAATATTCTTAGATTCCTAAAATCTAGGTCGTCTTTAATTTAAATTTAAAATTATTAGAAATTTAATTAAATTTAGTTACAAAGATTTGCATTCAATTTAGTTTAAATTCAAAAAATTCAAAAAAAAATTCTAATTAAATTTATTACGAAAATTTAGATAAAAATTTTAATACTTTAGAATTTCTTAAATACAGAAAAGATTTAATTTAAAATTTTAAATTTAAATAGTATTTTTATAAAAATTCATAGTAAATAAATATTTTATCGTATTTTATCATAAACACTCGGTCTAAAATATCAAATATTTGAGATTAATAAATAGTTATATTATATAATAATATGATCCTGATTAGAGTTATATATATATATATATATATATATTTAAGATCCATGAGTTAATTTATTAAAACATGTAAGATATTAAGATGATTTGAGACAATTAAACTAACATGTTAGCCCGTTTATATATATATATATATATATATATATATACATTTTTTAATAGCACAAATAATAAATAAATATCTTATTATATTTTTTCATAATGAATTGGTCCAAATATTCCATATTAGTAAATATTTATAGGGTTATACAATTATAATTATAGTCTTATAGGGGTTAGTTTGTCAAAACATATAAGATATTAAAAATGATTTAAGACAACTAAACGGATGGATTAGCAAATTCATAGATATATAGATTGTTTATGTGTAAATCTAAATTCATATAATAACAAAGTTTATAATTAACATTAGATCAATGTATACTTAATTAATGTATACTCTTATTCTACTAATATACAAATTTTACTGTTTAAAATTAAAATATGATAACAATTTTTTGATTTAAAAAAATAAATAACAAAAATAAATTATATTTAAATAAAAAAGATAAAGGCAACTTATATTAGAAATAAAAAATAAAACATTCACCTGCGGATGTACGGGGTTAAAATCTAGTATTATATTAAAACAGAAGCACATTTAGTACTTGCTTCCAAACACCCCTAATTTTTTTAAGTATTTAAAAATAATTTTAATAATTATTTATATTTAATTTCGAAAATTAGTTATTAATTTAAATATTTTTAGAGTTCCTTAAATATAGGTAATTTAGATTTGATTTGATTTGATTAAAAATAATAAATCAAATATTAATTTAGATTTGATTTAAAGATTCTAATTTAAATAATTTTTATACTATTAAACATTTTTATCAAAAATATCTATAATTTTTTAAAAAAAATAATTAACATATGAAAAATAATGGTCATATTTGAAATATAAAACATTTATAATGATGTAAATGATATAATATTTATGTTGCTTATATAATATATTTACGATTATAATTTATTTACAAATTTATAATAAAATAATAGGTAAAATTTAAATATATAATTTAAATATTAAAAATATATTTTATAAACTTTATAAAACTAAAAATATATATAAAAATCGGGTTAAAAATATTTTAGTAACTAAAATCACTAATTTTGAATTATACATGTATATCGAAAATATATTTTTCATACAAAATAAAAACAGAAAAAATTAAAAATTATTGCATACACTCTATAATGTGGTTTGAAAAACCAGTTGTACACTCCCTTCGTTGATTAAATTTTAGAAAACTATAATGCTAAATAATACTTTTAATACATCTCAAACTTTTAACAAATATTTATATTATACGGTAATATGAACGGAAAAGTTAGAATTATGTTTTTATAATAGTTCATTTTGAATTAATATTAGCGG